CAATAAACTGGTTTTTACTAAAGGTTAAGTGTCAAATTTTGAGAGATTAATGCAATTTGCTAAAGCAGAACCTAAGCCTGATGCACCAATTGCACCAATTTAATTATACCTTTTTTTAATAGTGAAGAAAAAATATATCATTAAATAGTTAATTAGAAGGAAAAAATGAAGAAAAAATATGAAATAATAAGAAATAAATAATAAAAGCAAAAGTTGAAAATAAAATGATGAGCTAAATTAACAAAGAATGAACAAAAAAAAGCAAGCACAATAAAAAGAAACAGAAAAAAGAGCTTTATTGTTTTTAATTAGTTTTTAGAATTAAAAATATCACAATCCAAAACAAATAAACTGTTTTTACTAAAGGAAAAGTGTCAAATTTGAGAGGTTAATGCAATTTGCTAAAGCAGAACCTAAGCCTGATGCACCTTCATCACCAATTTAATTATCACTTTTTTAATATTGAAGAAAAAATATATCATTAAATAGTTAATTAGAAGGAAAAAATGAAGAAAAAATATGAAATAATAAGAAATAAATAATAAAAGCAAAAATTGAAAATAAAATGATGAGCTAAATTAACAAAGAAAGAACAAAAAAAAGCAAGCACAATAAAAAGAAACAGAAAAAAGAGCTTTATTGTTTTTAATTAGTTTTTAGAATTAAAAATATCACAATCCAAAACAAATAAACTGTTTTTACTAAAGGTTAAGTGTCAAATTTGAGAGATTAATGCAATTTGCTAAAGCAGAACCTAAGCCTGATGCACCAATTGCACCAATTTAATTATACCTTTTTTAATAGTGAAGAAAAAATATATCATTAAATAGTTAATTAGAAGGAAAAAATGAAGAAAAAATATGAAATAATAAGAAATAAATAATAAAAGCAAAAATTGAAAATAAAATGATGAGCTAAATTAACAAAGAAAGAACAAAAAAAAGCAAGCACAATAAAAAGAAACAGAAAAAAGAGCTTTATTGTTTTTAATTAGTTTTTAGAATTAAAAATATCACAATCCAAAACAAATAAACTGTTTTTACTAAAGGTTAAGTGTCAAATTTGAGAGATTAATGCAATTTGCTAAAGCAGAACCTAAGCCTGATGCACCAATTGCACCAATTTAATTAGACCTTTTTTAATAGTGAAGAAAAAATATATCATTAAATAGTTAATTAGAAGGAAAAAATGAAGAAAAAATATGAAATAATAAGAAATAAATAATAAAAGCAAAAATTGAAAATAAAATGATGAGCTAAATTAACAAAGAAAGAACAAAAAAAAAAGCAAAAATAATAAAAATGAATAATAAATAAATAATTAAAAATTTAAATGAAAATTAAGTTAAAATATAAAAAATTTTAGTTAGAATAAAAATCAATAAATAATGATGATAATTTCAAAAATAAAAATTATTTATTTAAATAAATAAAAAATATTAATAATAATAAAAGTAATTTTTTTAATTAAATATACCTCAAATTAATATGGAGAACCTAATGAGATAAAAGTGAAGAGCTTTTAAACTTTTTTTATTAATTTATATAAATTTAAAGGATATTAATTAAAAAATTAATAATTACTTCTTCCAAATTATTATATTATTTAATCTATTATATCATTTATTTATTTTTTCAAAAATATTGAATAGCAATTTATGAAATTTAATTAATTAATTAATAATAAATAGTTAAAAAGAACAAATAAATATAATAATTAATTATCAAATATTAATTTATATATTTGGTTTTATGAAGAGATATCACATAAAATTAATTTAACATTCACTATTTAAAATTAATATTTGTATTTAAAACATATACTAGAGAACTTTACATCCGGGATATTTTGTCACAGAGTAAGATATGGAAAATCGTACTCATTTCACAATAAAAAAATTAAATATTTTTTATCTCAATTATCCATATAATCACACTCATCTAATCAGACTTTCCAAATTAAAAATAATTTTTAAAAAATCATATTATATATACCATAAATCCCATTATTTACCACAGTCTACTAGTCTACTAGTCTACGAGTCTACTAGTCTACGACCATATTCTGATTTAAAAAAGAAAAAAAAAATACATAAACTGCCATTTAGTCATTTATATATTAATATTTTTACAAACTCCGCTGATTAAATATATTCAATCAGCGGAATTTTAAAACCTGGAACAGCTATATATATGATTTATGCAGATCATATTCTTAATTATTTACATCTTGACTAGTTAATTTAGTTTGAAGACCTAAAAAATAATTTAAAATTTAACTTCAAATTGTACTGTGATGAAGACGATAAAATTGATATTGATTAGCTGATTAATAAAATTAAAACTAAACTTTTCACTACAAAAAAGAATTGATCTTGAAATTCAACTAGATAAATTTTTATCCTCTAATTATTTCGCAATTCAATGTTAAAAAGAACAATTAAAATTATTACCCTTTCAAATTAATAACTCTTAGTAAAAATATTCATGTATGCCCTTGTAGTTAACATTTAGTTAGATAAATTAAGATTTTTTTATCTTTAAATTAATTTAAATTTTAATGTATATTTTAGTAATATTACAAAATCCATCAAATAATTTCAAAAAAAAAAAATTACATCAAGAAAATTTTTGGTTTACATAATTTCAATTTATAATTTTACAACTTACTCAATTAATTATTCTTTTTTCAAAAAATATAAATTATTTGAATTAACTAAAAATTATTAATTATTTATAACAAAAAATGCTAAATTTTGAAATTAAATTATTCATTTTATCGCAAATAATATTTAATTTAAAATATATAGTTATAAATATATTTTTAAGCAAGTGTATTTAACCTAATCATTAACGGTTTTAACCTTAAATATTTTTAAATTTAAAGATAAAATTTTTTATAATTTCATAAATATTAAGTAAAAATTAGCTGAAAAATAATATGTTGTAAGAGAGTAGTAGCCACATTACTATATCTCCAAGTTGAATATATTTTTAAAGAGAAGCATCTTCAATCTCCTATTTTTATCTAAATTGCTGTTCATAAAGTAGTATCTAAATATGAATAAACCAAGTTATAGAAAATAAGAATTCTCCTAAACATTTTATTGCTCTACTTATTTTAGAAGTATAGGCTTCCATTAAAATTGTCAAAATAGCTGACATCAAAAATAAGATACCACAAAATATGCAAACTAAAATTGGAATATTGTAAAAAAAGCATAATATTGCCAAGTATAAGTATTTTTTTAATGTTTAAATTTAGAAATAGTAAACCTTATAGGAGTTGATTAATTTAGCTTGGATTCTCTCAGTATACAATATTGAATATTCCCTTTATTTTTGATATAAACTCCTTGCGTTCCTTAAATTAAAAAGAAAGAAAGTCAATTAAACTAATATTTATATAAGGCTAATGTAAAAACTCATTCTGTAGCTATAGGAAGATTGCCTAATTTCTAAAAACTAAATGAATACACATAAAAATATCATCGTTAAATTAATCTCTAAATCGCTATTAAATCTTTGAATCATAAAAGTTTTTATTTTTTATAGGATAGGTTTTTTAATATTTAGAGAGTACTAAAATATAAAAACTAAAGTTAAAATTAAGATCATAATAGTTTGTTTTATCAATAATATTGATATATTTACCAGAATACTTTAACAAAAGCCTAATTAATTGAATTTACCATAATCAGGTATTTCACAAAAATATCTATCTATATTATACCCAAATACACTAAATTCCATCTAAGGATTATTATCTTAATAATTAGGAACTCTTGGGAAAATAAAAGTACCAGCAATTTGATAAAATTTGTATAATTATGGGGGGTAGGAAGCATTTAGCAATAAGAATGCTGTAATAGGCTATAATGTATTTAAAAAGTAAAAAATTAATTAAAGTTAATTTATAGCTTTGAATGCATTTTAATTTTGATTTATAAACTAGTTCAATTAACTTTAAAAGTGATCTAAAGTCTCAGATTTTTAATTTTCTTCTTTAAGAAAAAGAGGTCCTATATCGACTGACATTCTTTATTACAAGAAGCTTTTATTTAAAATACTACTTCCATCTGAACTCTAAAAGTAATAATTTGTATTTAGAATAACAAAAACTTTTGATGCCTAAAAGTTTGCTTTGATTTTTAAGCTTACCAAGAATTAATTTCCAATATACTTAGCATTAACAAAGGAATATGATTCTTAAGATATTTCGGGGATGTAAAATGTAATAATTTTGTTTAGTTAGCTATCAGAAATATTAAATTATTTTAAAACTTAATTAAAATTTAAACTGATAAACCATGTTTTATTCTGATAAAAACTACTGATTTAAACATCAAAGCTATTTAGACATTTCATTAAATTTTCTTATTAGTATAATTAATCAGTACAATTGCAAATAAATCCTACATTTTAAAACCCAGACATACACTATAAGCACTGCTAATAACTGCAAGAGAGGCACCCAGTGGAGCATTTTTTGCAAATCTTTAGCTAAGGATCATAATAAGTACCTTACTAGCATATTTAGCAAGATCCATCTATCAACTCTTAATATCCATAAATGCACTAGCATGATGGAGGATTTACTCTATTTATTGAGCATTTAGTACAATTATCACTAAAATCGATGCAACTTAAACATTTGTCAGAACACAATACCTTTATTTCAACACATTCTTATTAAACTTCTTGGTACTGTTTATCGCATTAGCAGTTAGGTAAAACTCTTCTTTCAGAAGAGCATGTAATGCAAATATTATTGTCAATGCTACTACAAGAACCGCATTTATAATTACATTAGCACATATTTGTTTTATTTTTTTATTAAATGCAATTGCAAGTTGGTGTAATTTGATTTGAAAACTAGCAACTAGTACAATTATTACTTTGATTTTCACATTCTAAACATTATAAATCACATTTTTAGCATCTAGAAGTCTATTTATTAAAAAAGAAATATTATTTGCATTATAAACACTTCTTTAATGGATCAGCGTTATCATCTTTGCAAACTGTACATAATGGTTAACCATTTATATATTCAATTAATCCGCATAAATATTCTTCATAGTTTTGAGGTACTTTTATATTACAAGTTTAATCTTTTTAAATGATATAAGGTGTATATACTGTATTAAGAAATTATTAAATGCATTGCTACTTTGTTATTATTTGATTTTTATAGTACAAATAATCTCTCTTTAAGTATAAACATTTCATAACTTTTAGATTTATGTAAACAAAGCAAGAGTCAAATTTTGTATAATCGTAATAGACAAAAACATTTCTTTGGTATATATTTATGTTATCAATAAAAAGCTAATAATGGTATTAAGGATCTCCAATTTTTAATCTTACGATCTTGTCTACTAATACTTAGACTCTTGATTGAAAGGATTCTTTAATATAATTACAAATAACATCTATTTTATATTAAGTAATTATTGATAACTAAAACAAATCTTCTACTTTTGCATGTAAAAAGAAAAAATTAGATTAGTTGAAAAATAGTACTGCATTTTTTAAAGTTTAGCATATGCCCCAATAGCATACCTAAACATATAAAATTTATTAAAAATAATCAGGTATTACAAAAAGAGTTAAACAGTCATTTTAATTTACAATTTGAAGCAAATTGAACTACTACTCAAATTTGTCAGATAAATTAAACTCTATTGTAAAAGAAATGCTAAATAAACCTCCATAATTATTATTAGGGTATACTAAACTAGCATAAATATCCTAATTTAGCTAAAAGCCTTAAAATTAATTAAAATTTTGTAAAGATTTAGAAAAATTAAGACTTGGTTATGATATTTAATTTCCACTAGAATCATTAATATATTAATTATAGTTAATTTAACTTAAATCTAGTTTATACCTTCCAAATAATTCAGAATCATTTTGATAGATAGAAAAAAATAAATCGACTCCATTTAAAGTAGGGTTTGGTATATTCTTTATAAATGTTATTTGCTTATTGTTTAATACTAAGCAAAAGCCATTTATAATAGAATCGCATTTACCTCTGCAGATTTTCAAATTAGAGGTTCTATATAACTATTGGCAGTTAATGCTTTAATCATAGTAATTATATACCTTTGTTCTAACCATAAATATACAGTTTAAGTTGTCTGTCCAAAAAGCAATCCAGGCTAAGTCTTAAGATTCAAAAGTAAATTATGAAGAAAAGATATTATTTAAATAAAGCTTTATAAAAAAAATTTATTGATCTATAATTTGTTAAAAGCTTAAAGTAATATGTTATATAATACTTAAGTTTTCTTCAATATAAGCAATTTTTATTTCTTAATTCGGTACTAAATTAAATTATTTAACTAAGATTGAAAATGAAAAAAAAATACTATCAGAAGCTTTTATATTTAATTAGCTACTTGATAAAATATATTTGTTGATATCTGCATCCATATTACTGCACAACTACCCATAGTCTGGTTAATTTGATATTCTTATATTTTACCTCTCTTTTAAAATGAAAAAGGGTGTTATGCAATTCTACCCATCATCAAAAGCATTTTTATCTAAGCAATTACCTAATGAATCTCTGATTTTTGAGCAGTCATTAAGGCTATTACAATTTCTGCAATATGAAGGGCATTTTATGCAATTGTCTCCTGCTAAATAATATCCTATTAAACATTTGCAACTATTTTAAGAAGAACTATCATTTATCATATTTTAAGGACATAATTTTCTAGGAGGATTCCAATCTTTAACCCCTTTAATTAAATTATCAGTGTTTGTTGTATTTTTGAGGACACATTACGCTTTATTTTAAAAATCAATTAAATAATTATCCATACAAACTAAGCATGATCCATCTGTACTTTCTAAATAACAATTATTTTGATAAAATAATATAGAACCAGAATATATTCTTATGAGATCTAATTAATAACTTACATCATAAGAAAAAAACCTTAGTCTATATAGATAATGAAAATTACTATCGGGAATCTCCAACTACTTAGTGTTATTAATGATTAGTATAATTTTTCTTTCTATAAAAATATTACTCTTTATGAGTATGATATTGTTCCACTCTTATGTATTATAAGTGACTTGTTATCCTCCAAAAAAAATCTAGTTATTATAAAATTATACACAAAATTGATTTTGGTCAAAATCTATACAAAAATATTAATTTTTTGAGGGTGGTATTTATAAAAATTTCAAGAAAAAAGATATTGTTAGTTAATAAAAAGGTAAATCCAAGTAAATAGTTGATAAAGGGTTATCTGGGCTAATACCATTATTATTTGTTATTTGTACTGCTTACTGAAATGCTTATACATCACTTATGAGTTTTCCTGGATTGTTATAAGAATAAAAATAATCATAATTTTAACTAATTTAGGTAAAGGATGAGCTTAGATAACTTATTATTTCTTAAAAAGTATATGGCATAGGCTGACTTAAAATACTAACGCTTTAGAATAAAACTACTGAGCATGAAGGATTTAAATTTAATTTTTTTGGAGGGTTACCAAAATTAATCTCTAATTCACTTAAAATAAGCTATTAATCATATTTTTTTAAAAATAAATCAGAAAGGAAAATCTAATCAATATAATACTAAATCTATATCTAAACTTAAAGACCATCAATTTATTATTAAATGTCTATACTTATCTATACCCATTAGTTAAATTGTATTAATTAATTGTCTATTTATTACACTTAACCCAAAAAATCCAAATACAGACGATGTTAATTATTATTATAACTTAGAGATACTAGACAATTATTAAGTTAATGGATTGAAATTATTGTAAATCTATCTAAAGCGTATCCATAAGGTAAGTACATTATACTAATTACTATTCTTTAAGTTTATTTAATACTTGGAAATAAACTTTAAAAGTTAACAATTTTTGTTTGCTATTCTGGTAATTATTAGCATGGCTGATAGATATATTATTAACTTGCTTAGTAAATTTATAAATTCTAAATAGGTTGGTAAGAAGACATCACTCTATTTATTAGTATGAATAACAAGATATATCCTTTATTTTTCATTCTTTTGTTTTTTATTTATTAAATATTGAGTTTCCTATTTAATGATAATCAAAAATTATATCTTTGAAATTATCTCTTTGAATTATTTAATACATATAACAAAAAGTGATATTCATCCCAGCCAAAAAGAAAAAAATATATCTCTCTTTTCTCCACCACAAGAAAAAAAATACTTTAATACGAGAATATTTTTTACAAGTATTTTTTGATGGATTACAGTATTTAATATATCATTGAACCTTTGTTTGCATTATTTCAAATTAATAGTACGTAGGTAATAAATTTATTTGGTTGGATTTCAATTTTATTATATCTAATTTCTAATCTATTTTATGTTTAAATTATATGATCTTAAAATTAAATAATTAAAATATATTATGTTAATTTTTATTCTAAAACGCAATTTTATAAATTATATTTATTGATTTTAATATTAAAATATCTAATTTACATATGAAATGTAAAAAAATTATTAATTATTCTTATTAATAAAGAATTAATATAGACTATTGTATGAAATAAATAAATTTCTTTTATATTTTATAAAATTTTATACTCAGTCATTTTTTACTAATTAAATAACAATAATGATGCTTAACTTAAGCATTTATTGTTATAAATTACTCCAAATTTTAATAAATAAACAAAATATATATATAATATTTTATAAAGATATAAAATATATAATAACTTATTTCCTAATTTTAAAACTACTTTTTTTAATAAATAAAATTAATTTTTCGAATATAACCACTAAAGTTAAAATAAAAAGTAAAACTTGATTTCTCCCTGAGGTTTTATTTAAATCATGGTATCTAATGAATCATGATAAATAAAAAAAGGATAAAAATATGATTGATGGATAATATTTAAGATTAAAATATAACTGGCATATAAAAGTTTGGCATTTATATAATTTAATAAGATTTAATATAACACTAAAAGTTTCAAATTATTTGATTATTTTTGGAGAAACAAGAAAGTTTGCTTATGAGGATTTAATTTATTTAAGTAAATTTGATTTTTTTATTTTTTATAAATAATTTATTTACTTATAAAAATATGAATGATATTTATAATATAAAATCAATAATAAAATCTATATATCTATTTATATTTTAGGTTAAAAACACCTTTTCAACATATTTTATAATAAAATATATATTACTATTCAAACATTGTATATTTATTCATCCTTTTTTCACCAATTGTTTCATTAGAAATCAAAGACAACTAATCTTTTTGATTTAAGACACTTGCTTTTTACCTTGAGTTCTTATGATTCATTCATTGAGCTAAACATTTTATAATAAATTTGTGTAAATTTTAAAATAAATATCAAAATAGAATAAACTTTTAAATGAAAAATTATTCTTTAAAATTAATTAATAAAATTATATTAGTGGAATAAAAAAGATGAAAAATTAAATAAATAAAGCTATCAAATAAATTCAAAGAGCTTTTTTGTTTTATATTCATTTTTATAGTTGAAAATTTCACAATCCAAAACAAATAAACTGTTTTTACCTAAGCAGAAGTGTCAAATTTGAGAGATTAATGCAATTTGCTAAAGCACAACCTAAGCCTGATGCACCAATTGTACCAATTTAA